GTACATTAGAGGTCATTGGCCTTCTTCTTCCAGTGCAAACACACGCTGCTGCCCTTATCCTCTTCCCTGTCAAAATGTTTTATTCTTTTTCTTATAAACTCCGGGGACAATTAAAGTGCATTGTCATGCCTATCGTAAATCATCGGAAAAGAGTTAAACTGGCTATCTGTCAAACAACATAGGCTTTGTCCAGCTTTTTTTTCAGTGTTTTCGGCCACACTGTTTATAAATACAAATGACTTCAGTGTCCCTTTACAAAACTTGTGCTCTGCTCGTCACCATTTCAGCGTGGCCTCCGAGCTCGACGTCACTCTTAGCGTAACCTTTTCAGCTGGTGCCCCTCCACGTAGCATTGATTTACACAAGTTTTTCTCAGCAACTATTTTATTAGCTTTTCCACTAAAAAGTGTCGAGGGCACGAAAGTTCTGCTGGTGACCTGCACGGCATGACGAACGTTGGCTCGTGATCGGCTGCCAGAGTAAAAGTAGAAAAACAATTTCCCCGAATCTCGTTTTGGCCAAATGCGAATAAAAGATTATGATGCTGTGTTGGATGTCATTTATGAACTTGTCGGCTGAAGAGATTGTGTTGTTTGTCAAGTGATTTAACGCGTGCGTTTCGAACAGAGGACATTTCCTGCGCACGATATAAGAGTGAGGTACCTGTAAAATCAAAGGGAGACAGATGAGAGAAGGAGCTCCTTATCAGCTGCTATGAAGGCTGAACGGCCCGTGAAATTTTCTGGCAGGGAAACAGCTAATTCCGGAAGTAACAAGGTTGGGAAGCTGAAATTTTCAGGGAGCACTCCCAGCCTATTTGTGACTTTAATTTACCAAATTTAGCCCCCAGTCCTAAGTGGTTCTCAAGTACGGCCCGTGAAATTCTTTGGCAAGGAAACAGCTAATTCCGGAAGTAGCTAGGCTGGAAAGCTGAAATTTTCAGGCATTAACCCCAGCCCATTTACGACTCAAATTATCATATTCAGCCCCTACTCTTACCGTGCTGCACTACTCACCAAATCCCCGCTATGAGTTTCAGTATAATCCATTCTCGGGCACAAGCGTGGAACGAGATGATGAACACGTAATAGCGCAGTATGAATATACCCTTCTAGCTGTGAATGCGTTTCTCAAAAGAAAATACTCAAGAATAGTAGCTGCCACAGCAT